AGAAGGGACTCAAAATGGTAGCAAGTGCTTCAATGAAGTTTTTATTTTTAGAGGCGGAGAGTAACACAGATACAATTAATGTGGCACAATACTCTGTCCTGTCCATCATTAAGACAAACAGCTTTGAACAAGAACACTTACTCTGCTTTTAATTTGGCATGTATTGGGTTCAGTAAGCCAGGAGCACATTGGCCTTACCCTCTGCTCTGAACAGGAACCAAACTCGTTGTAGCCCAGAGCTTGGTCCAGCATGACTTTCTCCTGGTAGCATTTTGGCACTCGTGTGCAGCACAGACCAGCAGCAGCTGTACAATTTGCACAGCAGTGTTAACCCTGCTGAGTGAAAGGCAGGTAAGGATCAGTGGCATAACTAAGCTTTGGAATGGGTTGTGCAGTTTTGTTTGCTGATGATCTCTAAAGGGAGCAGCTTAGGAAGAGTGCTGTAAGAGAAATGGAGGAGACTGCTGGGGGTTACAGTGCAGTGATACTGGTGTTAGAGCAGGGCCCCCTGTCCAACCCAGCAGCTGATGTGTCAGTGCCCAAGGCAGGTGCCTGGGAAGAGCAGGAGACTGGGGAAGGCCCAGCATGCTGGCCCTGTACCCTGACCACTCTTCCATCACACCCCAGCTATTTCCTGATCACATTTGTGGCTTTAAGCAGCCAAGGCCACACAGAGTCCCAGGTCAAGTCACTGATGACCTACTCCCACATTTAATAAGGACCTTTTTCTCTTGGGCAGGGCAGAGGTGGGAAACAATGCAGAACAGAAATGTCTTTATTCACCTTCCTGTTACTATGTAGAGAGTTTCCATGAAAAAAAATCCTACCTTGCTACTGGAGGAGAGTGGAGGTAGCTGGTATGAGGCTTCCAGAGATCATGTGCTGGGTGGGGGGCCTGTAGTTTGTCTGACATTAGTCCAAGCTGTTTGCACTAGTGAGGTTTTTAATCAGCCTGTCATAGCAGGGCTGTGAAAGGTTGCAATTTTCCAAGTCCCAAGAAAATAATGGCAAAGAGAATGGAAAATAATATATAGTCTGTATTCTGTGCATTGTGCATGATAACCAGCAGCTGAGTGGCACTGGGAACCACAAAGTCACCTTCTCAGTAAGGCAGATCCCACTCACCCCAAAAGGTGTTTTGGCTTGAGTCTCCCATACTGTAGTGCCAAGGGAAGCAAGCTTTCAGGGGTAAACTAAAAACAGCAAGGAGGGGAGAACATGCTGGGGGAGAAGGCATCACATGCCACTGGCTTTTAAACTTTACTGTTGTTAGTTATTAAAACTATTATTTACTGTATTTACTGATTAAGTTACTAAAGCTATTTTCAAAAGAAAATGGATTTACATTATTCTTGTTGCTTTCAGGGCAACAAAGCTAGTGAACAGTGTGGAGCACAAGTTCAAGTTGTTGTGTTCTAGTTTTAGCACAAGGAGCAGCTGAGGGAGCTGGGGTGTTTAGCCTGGAGAAAAGGAGGCTCAGGAGAGACCTTATCCCTGTCTACAACTGCCTGAGAGGAGGTTGTAGTCAGGTGGGGATTGGCCTCTTCTCTCAGTCAGTTAGTGACAAGAGGACATGGCCCAGCTGTGCCAGGGGAGGTTGCATTTGGACATAGAATTTTCTACAGAAAGGGTGATGAGACATTGGAATGCACTGCCCAGGGAGGTGGTGGAGTCACCATCCCTGAAGGTGTTGAAGGAAAGACTGGACACGGCACTTGGTTGGTTGGATTTGATGATTTCGGAGGGCTTTTCCAACCATGTGATTCTCTGCTTATGCTGCTGCTGACGGAAGCTCAGGTTACAATGTATCTTTGTACAGTATACTTTTGTCCCCTGAGAGTGCCACATTGCATCGAGATCTCAGGCATTCCAGTTTTCAAATCTAGTAGGTTTTTTAAAATTCAGATTGTAACAGGTTGATGATGCACCAAGTTAAAAAATGACTTTGCTGGTAAAAAGTAATTTTTGCTACCTATTCCTTTAAATCCTTTAAATAAATGTTGAAGAGCTACAAAATCAGCTTAATCACTAGAGTTGCATTTTGTGTCCAAGTGCTTAACGTGGTCCCAGCAGAATTTATCATTTAGTGCAAAGAGGACAATGACACAACTCTGTGTGGTATCATAGCTGAAAACAGTTGTAAAAAAATCTTGTGGAGAGTGAGTCAGGTGGAGTTTGCTCCTTTAACTCTTAGAGCCAAAAGCCCCTTCTTCACGGGGCAGTTGCGTGTAAAACACGGGTGCTCCCGAGAGCAGCCGAATGCCAGCCCCACCTTCCTGAGGCGTACAGTGAGTACAGACAGGCTGCCTGTAGGTGTCAGACTCGGACTGCACACGGCATAAATGCCAGTCAGGACCAGGTGGGCCTTCTGGTTTGTTTCTTAAATCAAAGCAACCTCACTTGTTGCCTGTTTTAGTTAAAAAATAAACATTAAATCTAAAGTTTGTTCTGTTCCAATCAAAAGAGGGAGAACTGCAGACAATACTACTGTTCTAATGCAAATAATTCTGAGAAACAAAAAAGGTAAGTTTTAAATTATTGAATTGTGCATTCTGCAGCCATCTCAAGACCAGCAGCATATGCATTTTCAGCCTTCTGCCTCCTTATATGTTCATAGCTTTTTTTCCTTCACCACTGCAATTGGGCTGCCAGAGGGGAACACACATGAAATGTAAGAGGACCCAAAGGAGCTGTCACACTTTCCCTCAGAATGAGAACTGAGAAAAATACTATTTCTAATCCTCAGTCTTGCAATATGGTGATGATACTAATTATAAACAACAGTTTAAAACAGAAGAGTTTGTTACAGAAACCTACTAAAAGAGAAGTGCAAAAGGCTAATAATTACCAGATTTTGACACTGCTCTACTTTCCTGAAGGAATGGGGCAAATGGTACTTGACTGCAGACTAAAAAGTGACAATACCTTTTAGAAGCAGCAGGTCAGAAGCCAGTTCTCCATAAATACATCAGTTAACTAGGGGGAAACCTCTTAACCTACTGGCTTAATTACAAAATAGGGGACTATGCTGGGATAAAGGATTAGTCAGAAGTTTTATAGCTTAAATTCTGTTAAATTTAAGTGCTACTATATAGAATTAAACCTCCCCTTATTAATACCAAGACAAAGATGGTATTCACATTACTATTGAATCCATTGCTTTATAATAAAATGCAGATTACAGAAAAATACCAAGTTCAAAACTAACTTCTTGCTTGTAGGTGAGCCAAAGATGGAGGCATTTATGTAGAAGGTAGATAAAATGTGTACTTATCAGTTCCAAGAGGGCTTAGTAGGTACACTTTTACATGGGTCAATTTTCTGCTAAATGCCAGAATTTTCAAAATTAAAATTTTTTTTCATGTGGTGGTCTGAAGTCCTGGAAAATGGAAAGGAAGGCTTGTATACTTCAAACTGCCCATACAAATCTCTCGGGATGAACATTTAGAATACAGTTTTTCATGTAAATCTGAACTATGCAGGGTCTTTCTGGAACAGAGGCACGAGTCCACCTCTGTCTGTCAGTGAAATCACAGATTTTACCCAAATACAGTGTTGTACTCAGTTCATGAATTACAGTAGGCAGAAACCAATACTGGTAACCTCTAAAAAGAGAATACAATTCCTGAAAAACAACCCAACCAACGAGACAAAAAAACCCCCATAAAATATCCTCTAAATTTCTAAAAGATTTTGAAAACACGTTGTTGTAAAAATAATGATCCAGGAAGTATTTTGTGGTAAGAATATTTTATATTTTTTTTACACTTTTAACACTTACAAAAACATTCAAACACAAAAAAAAATTAAATTACTTTGGGAGCAGAATAAATCCTTCTGCCTACACACATACATCAATTCCAAGCTGTTGGCACAAAAAGGAATCCACATTCATAAAACCCTTACTACTATATCAAACATAAGTTAAGTAAATCATAGGCACTATTTTATCAAATCCATATTTCCACAATTCTGCAGTAAATCTCTAAACACAGAGCCCCATGATTTCCTGATATCAATGAACTGGTAATGCACAAAGGCTTTCTAGCAGACAGACAGTCTGTCTTCTCAGGAAGTCATTTGCTGTATTTTGGGGAGAACAGCAGAGAAAAAAATCCTATAAAACTCAAGCTGAATTTACCCAAGCGATGAATTACTTAACTTAAGGAAACGTACACAAGTTTGATGCAGCCATGGCAAAACCCCCAATATTGTCACCTAAACTGACTTTCAAAATTTGTAAGTCAAGTGAAGTCTGATCAAATCCATCAAGTTAAATATTCCCCTTTCTTCAGTGAAGACTGCAGCACTGATTTGTACAATGCTGAAATATTAAAATTCAGGCTTTACTGAGAATATGCACATTTGATCTAGTCCTGTTTTCTGCTGAACAGTGCTGTGAGATACATCCATTCCCTGTACCTGCAGGTGACTCAAGGCTGCATTAGTGGTATGCAGTGCTCTGTAGTGGTGAAAGGTGGTTTCTGCTGCAATCTGACAATTACAGTATATTTGACACCCTGACTTTGAAGTCTTAGCACAGATCTTGGTCTGGTGTGTGAAATCACCCATCAACCCAGAGCTTGCTTGAGTAGTTTAAGTTGCAAGTTAGTCTCCACTCCTTCCTATTTGGTTTCTTCCAAGTCAAGTAGTATTGAATGGCTTTTCATCCAGGAATATGTTAATGTTGGCCTAAAATTCAAGTGCTAGAATTTCAGGATTAGTTATCCTCTTAGTGGTGGGAGCAAAATACACCAGCAGTCCCAAACTCAGTTACTAATGGGGTTGAAGGCTACCTACCGTCCAAGCTGACTTGTAGTGTTTGTCAATCATTGCACAAAGGATTCACATTCTCTTACTTCATCAACTGTACATCCAAAATATTGAAAAACCTTCAAACAAAATCCCTTCTGCTTAACTAGTCCCACTCAATACAACTTCAGGTACAGATTTTTGTATGATGTCTTCCAAAACAGAAAACAATGGTTCAATGCTAAATATATCAGTTGTTCTGAGCAAAATGTATTAGAGTAAGTCAGAGCCACCAGAGGAGTTTAATAGCTTGTAAACAGACATAGCAGGTTTCATACTCTGTTACCAGTAATGTAAGATACACATATGTAAGGCAAAGTACATATTTAAACACACTTACATGGGCAATATCTTCTGTAAAAATATTTACAATTTAAAATAAACCAATTTAAGAAATGGATGAAAGTAAAAAAATAGGATACAGAAAACTCCCTCATACCATGGAACATCACCTAAATGAATATCATTTGGCATCAAGAGTCAACTCATTTCCTTAAAATTTGTATGTTACAAGTGCATAGTTGTGTTTCCTTCTCCTTAACTATCAGCATTTATAGTTGCTGCAGGCTGCATGTATAGTGGTATGGTATTAGAATAAATCAAAATTATCACTTGCTCTTTCTTCTGCAAGGAAACCTGCTATAAAAAATTTTTCCCCAAATAGCAAGCCATGTGTTAAAAATGTGGCTACAATAATGAAGGCCATCTTTCCTGAGCCAGGAATTTAAAATTAGAAAGATTGTACAACTGATACTAAGCCCTTCTGGCAATCAAATGTAGGAGTAGGTAAAGCCAATAAATCAACATAGGAAAGATGCAATCTATACTATTGCATTGTGTGTGTCTGCTACATTCAAACCTTTTAATGTGACAGAAGTCATGGCTACAACTCCCTGTCCTGCCCAATCCTCCAGAGTAGCTGCTGATTCTTCCTGCACTACTGAAGGACAGATCCAGCCCCAGCTGGGATCTCACACAATTGTTAAAAGCAACGTTTCCCTAGCACTGTAGCAGTCTGCAATCAGAACATGCGCTCTGATTCATGTAGCCTTGTTTCAATAGTACATATTCAGCAATCTTTCTTGCTGAGTTAAAGCAGGTTGAAAATGAAGTTTTGGATGATGTGTGTTGATAGTTATCCTTGCTGTTTTTCAAGATGGGCATTTCTTTGGCATTCATTCATTTTTGCCCCGACATTGGCCACTCTCATAAATGCTCATATTGATAACATTTTTAGCAAGCAATAAAAAAGCCCCCAGAACTGATAGCAATTTAATGTAGAAGTGATTGTATGACCACCAAACATCTGATGTTAGATGTCATTAAAGTGCTGCTTTATAATAATCTCTGCCAGTTTGTGCTAATTAGAGACAGAGAGGTTTGGAATTTTTACAAATTCCAAGAGTCATATCTGAACAGTTTGTTTAATCAAGCTGTCTTTTTGCCTGGTGAGGAAGTATCCATGAGCACTGGAACTCTGCATTAAGCTGTGCAGATCAGTAGCAGCCATCTTTCCAACTCTCATCTTTCACGTTGCCATATGTCTTGGGAGTGGGTAATGATCTAAAATGAAATGAGATTTTTTCAGTTTCATATATAACTGTTCAAGTCTCTATCTACATACATAAGAATTTAAACATTTTATAAATAACTGAAATATACACTTCATTCATTTACTTCTCTGCAATACAGTTTACTTAAGATAATCTTGAGAGTATTTTCCATTTTAGGTTTCATGTGTTGTATCTTCACAACTACCACGCCAGGAAAAACGCTAAATAAATAAACAGACAGAAAACTTATTGCTATTATACTCTGTGAAAATGCAAACTTAATCTGCTTCCACCTAAAATGGGCTGATTTTTCAGTGATGTATATAAACAGGCAAATCCTTGTTTAGAATATAGCATTTTGCTTACATAAAAATCTGACATTCCTAGAAACTTGATTATTGCATTGTGTACAGAGTCTGCATTATAGAGCCATGGAATTGTTTAGGCTGGAAATGACCTGTAAGATCATCAAGTCCTACCATTAACTCAGCTCTGCCAAGGCCACCACAAGACCATGTCTCAAAATGCCACATCTACACATCTTTTAGATATCTCCAGGGATGATAACTCCATCCCTTCCCTGGCCAGCTGTTCCAATGTTTGAGAACCCTTTCGGTGAAGAGATCTCTCCTGATACCCAATCTAAACCTCCTCTGGTGCAAGCTGGGTCTATTTCCCTTTGCCCTATACATGCAAACTTTAAAAAAAAAAATTATTAAGTCAGTTTTAAAAAAGTTTAGTAAGGGAAACACTTTTCTATAAGCTGTGATTTGGACAACCACACTTCACTACTATTAGCAAACTCCTAGCAAAACAATTGCTTTTTATTACACACAGTTCTGTACCGCTGATCAGCGCAGGCTTTAACCACAAAAGTCAGTGCTGTGACAGTCACTTGTCATTCCCCTGCCTAGCACTCACTGCAGAGCAGAACTTTTCCACTGTGCTATTTACCACCATTTTGTCTTTTTTACAGTACTACAGACTAACTGTTTTTCCCTTCTGTTTAAAGAGATTCTTATTTCTCATGGATGACTGCTTCCTTATGTGAGCTTCTACTTAACACCTTCAGTGAAAACTGACATTTACAGTTAATACTCAGTCTCTCTTGCAGTAGTTTTCAAAAAGACACATCAAGCAATGTCTATAGTTGGGTGTTAGCACAGTTATGTTTAAGCTAAAAATTCTGTTTCATCCTGGGGGTTAACTGCAGTGCTTTTTATTTTAAGTTTAGCAAATGCTATAGATGTCTCAGTGCATCTTCCTTCTGGAAGTTTTCAGCTGCCCAAGGAGAGAAACTACTCTCACCATGGTACTGTTGCTTGAGTTATGGAGGCAAGTAGTTCTGACTTCAGAATGCGTGACTCACACAAGTGAATTTTCTCTTGCCAGCTGTATTTTGGTAACTTTTTACCACATGCAGACAAATTCTTGCTGCCTTATCAGCCCAGACTAAGATTTTGTTTACTTAGTTCAGTATCTTCCATTACTGATTTCACTTTCACTCGTTTACTTTCACTCTCTCATTAAAGAACCCTGATCTCTCAGTTTGGATTCAAAACTGTTTTGGAAATACTTCACATGGAGGTCTCCATTTCTGTTCTGAAAACCTTAAGATCAAAATAACAATTGCAAGAAGCAGCAACACAAATACACAGTGAACAAAATTAGTTTTAAAAACTTCAACCTCAGACTGCCTGTCAGAGACTCACCTGCGAACAGGCTGTGCAAGTTTGCTACGAGGCACTGGGATGCCCCCTGTGGAAGGGGCACTGGGTCTGGGCAAGCCACTCCTCATCCCTGCTGGTCTGGTAAGAGTAGTACTGTTAATACTGCTGGCAGGACTGGGCAAGCCTGAGCTCTGGGCTGCGAGGGGCCCTGGTGAAGAACTGCTGTGCGTCAGCTGAGCGGCTTCTGGAGAGGCAGCCAAGCCCGGCCCGTGGGTGCTGAATGCTTTCACCGGCTGCCGCAGGGCCAAGGGAGAAGGTGCCGCGGGCGAGCGGAATTTACTCGAAGAAGGTACTGCAAAATATAGAGGTCACTTTCAGCTTGTGTTACAATATTACTGAAATGAACAACTGGAAATTACTTTATGTGATTGTACAAACAATATGGAATGTATAATGGAATACAGCCAATCAAGCAGCAATGAGAAACAGGAATTCAGATGTCCTCTTTGTCATGTGTTTTTGATATCATAATTCTAATGCCCTCTTTGCTGACTACAAATATTTATTTGGATTTGTAAGTGATCCTAATCAGGCTATAACTGTTGTATCAGTTAAGTCAAAAGAAACAGAGAAGAAGGCTTAAGAAGAAATTTAACTGCTTCAGAAACATGTGAACTTAATTCCCGTCTGTGAAAGAACACGTTGAAGAACACAGTATTCTAGTGTGACACAGGCTTTAAACAGATTCAAAGGCTATTTTAGTCTTCAATGATGAAATTTTGAGCACAGAGCATCTTGGTGTTTCTTTAATGCTGTTCTGTTTAACCACTGAGTTAGAATTCATCTAAAGATATAGTTACATCCCACATTTTCTGGCAGATGGAAAAAAAAAAAAAGATGGGGTTATCTGTCCTGATTTCAGCTGGGATAGAGTTAATTTTCTTCCTAGTAACTGGTATAATGCTGTAGTTTGGATTAAGGATGACATCAGCCAACCTCCAACACCAAAGAGGTTAAGGTGCTGCTTAATGAAACTTAAACCAGACAACTCTTAACAATTTATAGCCTTCCTCTTCTTACAAACATTACCTAAATGATCAGTATAACTAATACCTGTCTCTAGTATTTGTACCTGAGTTAGTATGCAAGGTTTTGTTATCAGTCCTTTCTGGGATATGTTAATAAGACAGAATATTCAACAGTCCTTTGATAATGCCAAACCTTAAGCATAATTCTTCACAAGTATGAGGAATATTTACAAATTATGCATAACTTATCACTGAATAGAATACTTAAATGAACTCATCATCTTAGTAATGGAATGAAATTTCACCAGCTTTTCGAAATGATTAGAGTGAGTCAGTAAGAGTCAACACAGGATGATCAAATCAATCACGTAACAAAAGCATGTTTACATCTAGTAAATCTGCATTAACTATACTTTCTTCTACTAAATAATTGTTTTATACTGAGACCAAAGTTGCATCGTTTTTGACAGATGTTGTGCATAAAGAAGCTGGTCCTTAACACAGCTTTTATTATAATTTTCAAGGTAGATCCAGTAAGAACACGAGGAGTGAGAAAGGAGACAGGTAATGCAGGAATGCAGCATCCCAAATGGGGTACAGAAGAACTGGTAATTTTGAGATTGTATTCTGAAGCTGTTTCTTATAGGGGATGTCTAGGAAGATTAATATGTACCTCATTAGAGATGTGAATTGGATTTGATTTCTTTCTGGATTACCCAAGGGGACCTTTCCCCTGACAGCAATATCAAACACAGCATGAAGCCGCTCATGGGAAAAGCTGACAAGAAAAGGTGACAGAGAGGTCAAAACCACATGACAGTTGCTAAGTGGCAGGGAGATTAAGTAAAAAACCTTAAAATAAAAGCTGGCATGAAGCCAGAGTATGGATTAAGGAAAGCATTACCAACGGAATGACTGGACAAGAAGAGCATCCAAGTGCTCCTAGGACTAAGATAGATTATATGTAAGTTTTTAAAACGTGACATCGCCTGTTAACATCGATGCAATCAAATCTGCAGAATTTCCAAGTGACTCTACAGTGTAAATAGTGGGAGCTTTTATCACTGAACTCCTCATTATAATGCTTGGAACACAAACACAGCACCATGTTAGCAACTACCAACAAAGCAATGCCAGTGTATAAAAACTGAATACAGCTTCAGGCCTCTTACAGGCACAACAGGGAAAAGGTTTTTAGGTAAAGAATACAAGCAACAAAAAGTTGCAACAGAAGTAAGCTTCCAGCATTCCCAGAAGAAGTAAGGATCCAGTAAATTAGTCTTCTCCATCCTCTTTAACTTTCTGCTGGCCATATTTTACCATGCTGCAAACTTGAGCTGTCAATTCATAAAACATTTCCTGTCAGCACAGCATTGCAGACATTGCTGAGAGCTATATTCATTCTTGTGCATAAAGGAATGAATTGTCTTCCAGAGCAGCCCACATGATGCAGTCTGGCAAACTGCCTAATAGTTCTGTTCTACAGATAAAGAATTTGGTCTCAGAGCAGTTTTTGATATTCATTATAGTCAGTTTGGTCTATCTGTAAGACAGGATCACAAAGACTGAGGTACTGCCTCACAGACTATTTGGTAACTGCATAACCATGTATAGTATTTAGCTGATCCATGTTCAACAAAAACGTGTAAACATGTAAGTGTAGTGCTTAATAACTTTACACAACTCGGTCTCTCCTTATAAAGTAAACTAGAAACAGCTACAATTAAAACATCTGGCAGCCAAAAAAAAAAAGAAAAAGAAAAAAAAGAAAAAAATTAAAAGGCATGGTGCAGTTATGATATTTAGATGTCCTACCCTCTCTGGACTCTGTCCTGGATTGTGGGCAGGGAGCACGAGATCTCCATGTGGCAAAGTAGGGTGCTGTGAAGCTGCAAACTTATTTGGCTTGCACTCCAAGGCCAGCTGCTGCACACCAACTTGAAAACAGATTAAATTCTAATGCAGTTGTTAAACCACAACCATTATGATGAGATGAATCACCCCAATATGAAAGAACAGATGAGGTATAACTATTGGAATCAATAAACTGATCTGTCATCTCAGTACAGGAAAGAAGTGGACCTGTTGGAGCAGGTACAGAGCATGGATGAGTATCTCTCCTCTATCTGGAGAGAGGTGGAGGTCTTCAGCCTGGAGAAGAGAAGGTGCTGGGGAGATGTTACCACAAAGTGGTAAAAAAAAAGCCAACATGTGTGTGAAAGGTGTCAAGCTACGTAATGAACAGTATTTTAAGAAGGTAAAATCAATTGTTGCTCAGCTGTTAATTTCTCTGCTTCATTACTATTAAATACTTCTATACTCATGAGGATCTCAGATCAGAAGAAAGAAAACCAACACATTAAGGACTATAAAATAGCAAATAACTGAAAAAGACAAAGCAAGTAACTGAAAGGGTCCTCATTTGCAGTAAGGAATGACAACAGCTATAAACTGGAATATATAACTGGCAGCGCAATGTGCTCTGTTCCTCATTCTCTAAGGTTTAATAAATTTTTACAAATTATATAAACTCAAAGAAAAGCTGATTTTCTGTACATTCCTACAGGCTCAGACCAGGCCACTGACCTAATAAGTGTTCCAGACAGCCAGAGGAGGGCATGGCCAACTGGAAAGAAAGCAAAGAAAGCTCTGCAGAGGAATAGCAATGCACTGTGAGAACTTTATCTGGTACGAAGTATGAAAACTGTTAGAAGACTTCCTCTTAAGACATGTGAATTTGTTTCACAGGCCTCATACTCTGCTAAAACTTTCTGCATGGTATGAAGATGACTCTAAGGAGTTGGCATTGTTAAAGCCCCAAGAGAAACACGTACATTCTGTCAGCCCCTCATGTCTGCACCAGTGACTCTCACAACACTCTAAGGATTCTAGCATCTACAAGCTTATGAATTAGTCTCAAGTGTAGTATGAATTTTAAATTGAGATCTTCTTGATTGTAATAGACAACAGACCAACTATGCTTAAAACCAAAATCATTGTTTACCTTAACTGTGAAATTGAGGCAGTGTCACATACAAGGCTGCCAGAGCCGATTAAAAATCAGATAAAACTGTCTAATTGTATTAGAGACTCGATATTTCATTGTATTAAAAAAAAGTCAAGTTCAACCATTAGCAAACTGGAATATTATATACAAGAGTCTCTAATTCCTTGAGTCAACAAACCTTAATTCATCTGTGTTGGGATTAACCTTCTGGTTTTGAGAGGAAAAGAGAAAGCACAAGTACATGCAAAATAAGTTGATAGTCTACACTCATCTTCCCAAAGATAAATTTGTTAGCTTTTGTTCCCAGCACAAAGGATTGTATGAGTATTTTTACAACTTCTGTTTTAAAAACTGTATTTTGCCATTTAAAGAATTCCTATACAAATGCAGCCCTAGTGAATATGTATTTAGGAGTCCACTTTTCTAATCCCTATTTCCTGATTAATGTTAGAAAGTCACTGTTCCTTGGATTTTTATCTCAAAATTCAATCTCCTATATAACACAGAGTTTATTTTCAATATTTAGACCAAGAAGTTAACTTTCATACAGCAAGGACCACTTGGTTAATCTCTACAGTAATTGCAAGAGCAAGTTTATTAATCTAGAACATGTGAGATTTAATGCAGGCGAACCATTATCTGAGATTTGCTGGAGCTTGATAAGAGGTTGTAAGTTAATTACCTCCTTTTGTAGATGGAGTTTGAAGAAACTGTTTGGTTTTGAAGGCAGCACGAGGCAAATTTTTCTGCCTTTGCAGAGCTGTTGAAAGACAAGAAGTGTTATATTTGTCTAAGAAGATAAGAAAACTAAATTCACTGGGAATTTCAGAATTGTATCCACTTGTGAAGCATCAAGAAACTGTGAGTAAAACACTCAAAAAGCTGTTATGACTCTGGAAGTGATGGAGTTTTGTGAATGGTGCTTGCTCTTAATGGCAAAGAGTTGCAGAGGAGTGTGTCAGAAATTTTGCAGTGCAAAATGCGCAGATTTGGTAAGAGTAAAGCTTCTTGCAGGGCAAAAAGCCCAGAAATGCAAAACAAAAATTAAAACACCAAAGGGAGAACAAGCCACCTAGCACACATGCTACAGCAATATGAGAGCAAGATTAGATACAAATGAAAATTAAACTGTTGTATTTGACCTAGCAAGACTAAATTTTTAATTTTAGAAGTGTTTTCAAAAAAATATTCTAATACTATACAAAAGCATAAATCTTTGTCTAATATGATCATCATATAAACAAATTGTATTCTTCAGTTATGGAGACTTAAGCCTTCTTGAGAGATGTCTTTTTTCTCTCCTCTTCAAAAGGTATGCAAGAGGACTTAAGCTTAAAATGAAGACTTAACACTAAGATTTATCAACTGCCAGCATGTACCCAGCATGATGGAAATTGGTTTTTATTGCTCCTTTTCTCCCTCATCCTGCCTTTTGTCTAGTAACACTCAAGGGCTGGTGCTGCCTTGAAATGACCTCACTACCTACCAGTTACCAAGAGAGAAGCCAATATTCCGAGAGCTGCAGAATCTTGGCATGGAGAGAATTACTTATTGCCAGAAGGAATGCACTCACTCAGCCTATTTCCATCACAGCACATTTAAGGGGGAGAAGGAGGAAAGTAGTCAATGAAATAAAGCTTTGACTACACAGAGACTTCATAAAATGATAATGTATGAATAAACATCTCTGCTTATCTCAGTGTATGAAGTTTTATAGCAGCATAAAACTGATTGCACTAGCAAGGCTTATTTCCATAGTGAGAAGGAAGAAAGATGGGGGAACAGCTGTGCAAAAAGATCCTGACCCTGAGTAAGGAATAATATCCCATCACCAATTACTGAATATCACTATAAAGAAGGTGGGGGGGAATAATTTGAATCCTAATATTAGTTAATCCTTTTGATAGCATATAATGATTACTATCACCTTTCCTATGCTTCAGTCAGTGCAAAATACACAGTATTTTATGAACTATAAAAAATTCATCATATGTTTTAACATCATGCTGAAATTATGACTAGGCAGGCTACTCAATTTAGTCTTAATAACTAACTAAAACTGTCATGTTCAACAAACAGCAAAAAGGAATTAGATTGTTCATAAACAGTAAAATTCTGCCTGTGCCTACTTGTAATAGAAACATTATTCCTTCTACCAACTAGAATCTAATGCAAAATAGCCTGTGGCAATATGTAATTCTTACTCAACTGGCACATAGTCTTCCTAGAAACTTTTTTTAAAGCATACATGTGAACAGCCAATTAAGTACAGTATGGTCTCTAAATATGAGCACAATTCCTAGAAATTTACTGAGGCAGACCACTAGGCAGACTGCTTCAGTCCTCAAGTATTCCACTTTATTAAATATTTTCTACAGAATCACTGTTTTTGTTATACCACACAAAATGAAGAAAAGCTTCTTTCTTCATATTTTGAATTTGTTTTGTCCTAATCCACTCAGATTTCAATATGTTACTGCACATGGCACTTTCTTCCCCCATCATTATTCACACTTCTTGCAAGTCAGAGAGATGGGATGATATGGAAAGGATTTTTAAATACGCATATATCAAATTCCTTCCTTCTCAATGGAGACTCTAGGAAATAGACACTCAATAGCAAAACATTTCTGTGCACTGAAACACTGAACAGAGCTTAGGCAGTACAATCTGAGCAATGCTGAGCAAACATGCAGTTTGAGATAAGCGCCCAAGGCATGTTTATCCACACCACTTGCTGCTCTTGAAGTGCTCTCTGTGTGCTGTGACATTCCCTGTCACAGCTGCTGCGTGTTGAACTCATCTAGTTACATTTACTTCTGATCAACTAACTGGACTACTTGGTCTCTTCAAAACTTACTCTTCCTCCTTTTACTCTGAACATGCCAAGCAGTTGGATCTTGGCAAGCAGACAAGTCACTTTACTGATAGTTTGAATCTACAGCTTGAGAAAGTTTTGTATTTAGCTCTTTTTAAAAGCATCCATGTGCTCATAGTGCCACTAAGTACAAAAGCATCACACAGAATTCAAAAGCAGGTAGCTCCCATGTGGAAGTCACCCTACCATTTCTAGAGCTTTGTACAATCTATGTGGTACAGGACCCAAACACAAAGATTTCCCATCACTAACACTTTAGACAATACCTATTCCTTGGGGAACACACATATTACCATATCTTCTAGTTATTTACTAGCTTTCATATTTAAAAAAAAAGTACTTTCTGCAGAATGGCACGGAGAATCAGATGTAAATGAAGAATCAAATTGTTAAAATTGCTATTTAATTCAGTCTCTCTTCAAAACCAATTTGGATTGTTCACCACACTGCAGCTAAAAGTTAAAAGGCCTATGTTTTCATGTTTACAGTTGTACCTCTGAACACATCACATGTGTCTTCCCTCTCTTCTGTAAGCAAGCAAATACAATTTGGCTATAAAACTGTAAGAGGAATTGTCATTTCAGAAACTTACTGGATTCCTAGCTCATTTTTTGAATGCCATAGCAACCATAGCAAGTTCAGTATTGCAGCCACAGCAAATGTGCAAGTAAATTATGAACCGCAAATCTTTGACAAGGAGCAAAGTAGTGACCTCGGGTGGCAAGCCAGCATCCTCGCAAAGGTAAGCTCATGCAAGACTAGCAGCTGTATGAGGAAGCTTCAAATCCCAAGACCCAGAAATCATTGCCAAGGGGAAAACAAAAATTTGCTGCAATTTAACAGTGCTTTGTGCAAAGTGACAAAATATAAAACCAATAAAACAAAAAGTATACAATAAAAGGACACAATTCTGGAAATCTTTATACAATGTACAGTTTTGCAGAAAATTTTTTAATCCAGACTAAGCAAAGATACTTACTCATCGACTTCACACACAAACCGTTATACGATTGTCAATAGCAAGACTCTGACAAACATCTGTAAGAGCAGGGAAACTGTAAAAGCTAGAAATCTGGCCTTTATTAATGATATTTAACTTACATTTAAATGTAAGTTGGTCTAGTGTGGTTCACATTTGGGGAAATTGTCTATGAAAGAAAAGCAAATTTACCTAAGTAATTCTTAATGCATCCACAAGTTGAAAAAATGAAATATAAACACAATCAGACCACTTTGGTTCCTGCAATGAAGTAACTGACTAAATATTGAATACTGAGTCTTCTGTTGTCTGATCTTTCCAGAAAGTTTAACCATGAATATACTTTTAATTCTGGAAATAACCTTCTAGCTAAGTTGCTCTCTATGCTCTTCCCTTTCCAGTTCACTCAATTCTAAAGCACCAAATGACATCTGTAGAGATTTTTACTAAAAATATTTTTTCATTAAATTTATTTCAGCTCATTTTGATAATTCTTCCTATCACTGAAATAACACAGCTGTAGACCAGCTGCCCAACTGCTCTGAGTGCTTTATACTTTGATAAGGCTGCCAAACAGGTAACAGTTGTGCATTTGAACTACACAAATGTCCTTTTAGCTTGAAATCCCACCTTCTGAGTGTCTGCCAAAGGTGGAAGAAGAGGCCAAGGTGGAAGGATGCTGGAGTAACTTATATGAATAATGGTAAAGTCACACTAACTTCTGTCTACTGCAGTATCACACACCTGGGACTGACTGTCCACAGAATCCTTACATCTGCTCTTAGTCTGTACAAAGATGGAAACCTTGGAGTCTTTGGCTTGGTCTCTATTCCTTATGCTGTATTTAACTGTACTTGGTAGCTTTAACACATTGTTTTGAAAGTTTTAAGACAACCAACTAGGTATGCCACTATGGCTTCACTGTTCTATAGGTAAAATACCCCTAGTTAAATTCACAAACATTATTTTTACATTTCCAAATATTTAGTTTGCTGATGAACCTTTATCACAGAATTTTTACAGTTCAAAGCTCTTCACATAAAAATATTCATAATGTGTTCTTTCCTTGAAAATGTCACACAAGGTTATTAAATTCAGAAACTTGTTTTAAAAGAAATGGTCAGGAAACATTTAAACAACAGGAACTGGCAATATTGACATATAAAGAAACACTGAATATTTAATTTTCATTTGCTTTGGCTTCTTTAAGGTCACCATTTTCAAGAGATTTGTGAGGATAGCAGTATTTTCATATCAGCAGTTAACTTTTGGAGAAACTAGGAAAGCAATGGGAATCCAGCAATGGGCTAATATGTTTTATGAGACACAGGTTCATCCAAACCTTTTTTAGGAAGTAACTAACACTTAAAGTAAATAAAATTGCCAACTGGATATATAACCCATATGCCCAGAAAAAAAAAAAAAAAAAGAAAGAAAGAAACAAACTGCAGAACTGCAGACATGAGTTAACTTAAAGGGCTAAACTGAAATTAACACTTTCAGGTCATGTTTCACTAGTTAAAAAAAGCAATAAACATCATCTAGCCCAGAAAGAAAAGCTTTGGACATGCCCAAATACTGTACTTATAATTCTTCATATTACTTCTACATATACTTCTGGGAAACTATGAATGACACCTTAATAAGAAACCAGACTTCGACTATTTTGCGAACCATAAAAACAGATTCACCAAAGTCTGATTACAAATCAAGATTAGCATCCCTAGTGTGGCATGCAATGTTCTGCTTTGCCCTGAGACTGGGAAAAGACAGCTGAATACCATCACTTAACTCTGAAATTCACACTGAACTACTACTAAAGGTACTTACTGGCTGAGGCTTGAGGTTGAATGCGAGGTATTCCTCCATTTGGCACTTGGAAATTTGAGTCACTTCTGCTGTTTTTCACAGACTCTGCTTGGATGTTGGAAGTCCTGGACAAGTTTGGAAGACTACGCCTTAGCTTTTCTGTATGAAATAATACAAAGACACAACATGTAATCTGATGCTGGACAAAGGTCAGGTTGTGAACCTGTAGCTGAGCCCCAAATGTAAGTGAAACAAAGTGTTAGCCATATAAAACTACAATTTAAAAGTGTATTTTGCTACATTACTTCTTCTATCACATACAAAATATTTATGTATCTAAAGAGTAAGAATGTCTATTTCTCACCTATGGTGAAAAAAGTCAAGCATATTGTGTTTTGAAATTGAAACATATCTGGATTGTGATTCTCTGGGTTTTATGGTAGTATTATCAAAGCTGAACAGACAAACCTAATTTGCAGTTTTGCACAGTTTTCAAATTATTTACTTACAAGGTTATTTGTAACAAAATGCTTGCCTGAAGAGTAAAAACAACATAGATGTTTGAGTGAATTTTTGAGACTGCCTTGTCTCATATCAGTCCATTATACAACAAATAACAGAGTCCCACTTGGTAAGGACCTCTTCATACAGAGCATTATTAAAGTGTCCAGTTATGCTTCATCTTTCACATATGACTTGACTTATCTACTCAGCTAATGCTGATACGTCAGGGGCCTTCTAATATTTGTACCACTGTTCACAGAATATATAAAAGATGTCATTAAGTACTTCTCAAGTCTAATGACATTCTGTGTATCTCCAACCCACGCAGAGCTGGGTTGATGACATACTTTGGACAGAAGACTGAAGAGGCCTTGACAGGATGAGTGGCCAACCTGATTCTGCAGAGGGATGCAGGGAAGAAGTAGGTTACAATGCACAAGCACTAAAGGTGAAAACAAAACTAAGTCTTCATTGGCTGAATTATTCCAATAAATGTACTTTCTTCACTTAGCAGTTTGCATTCCTTTGTACTGCACTTGGTACATTGTTGAACCATATCAACCAAATGTCCCTCCAATCATTCTAGACAAATAATATTAAAAAAAAAACCGAAACAAAAGAGCAAACCTGAACAACTTTTTTTGGCTGCTGCTGTATCGACTCTGAATATCCAAGCAACACTCAACTGCACAAAAACCACTGCAAGATAACTCCTTCGAAGTGTTTCAGAAACACATGATCACATACTCTATTTTGATCCCTCTGGTATGTGGGATACGAGCTTTTGGTACCATTCCTCTCATAGGATATTTTTACTGCAGCTCATCTAGCACATATTAAGACTTTCATTTTAAGAAATTAATGGGAAAGGAATTCTCGATTAAGTTACAATATAATTGATTAGCTTTTGTGTTGCACATTTTCCTAGATACCTAAAATTTCCTCAAACCACTATTACTAGTAAGGGGAATTCTTAATATTTAAATGTACATTCTTTCTAAATATAAAATCTTACTTGCTGGATAAAAAATACATTTGTTGAAATGGGAACCTGCTTGCAAAATTTCATCCCAGTAGAAGGAGTTTCTGCTAGATGGCTACTAGGAAAAAGTACATTCAAGAAGAAAAGTTGTATCAGGATTATATTATTTTGTTCTATGCCAATATAGTATAACTCTATTGAATTTACTCCAAACTTTATTTATTACGCAGCAGTTTTCACAGCTTTGAGATATCTAAAATATCCAACAAATGCATGAGTTAAGTACTAATATTTTTAAGACTATGTTCATGATTGAAAAGTGTCAGAGTCCTGTGCAACCAGAAGAAAGCATTCAGCTGGCTCACAGGCTACAGGCATGCATAAATCGCCATGTTACTCTTATCTGACCACAGTTACTTTCCTCTGCATTTTGTTCTGTCATCTGCAAGGCCTAACTCTACTAGTAAATGAGCTTCCCTGCTTCATTTTAGTGCATTTGCCTGCCAAATATAGACCTTGGTCACTATGAAACTCAATTATACTCATTGACTGGATAACATCTAAAATAATATAAGCCTATCAACTCATCTGACTGTAAGGGTGCCCCAGCAGAACTTAAGCTTTGCTTGCGCTGCGTTTTCTTCAGCAATTCAGAGATCAAACCACAATGTTACACAGGCACGTAATTTTAGGACTGCACACTGACAAAACTCCTTTATACAGAAACTACGCAACTACTCGTGTAATGAACTTCAAACAGTTTTTTACCTTCACTTTTGACATTACTAGTCTGCAAGTCTGTAGGATGGCCTTGAAGGGAAAGACGAGGCTGCTGCAAGCGGCTGATCATGGGCTGTGGTGACACTCTGCTGTACTCTATGCTTCGAGCAGGTGATCGGGAGCGAGGCGAGTTTCTTGGGGATTGTTTTGGTGAAGGCCAGGGAGAACTGCGAGGTGATGGTGAGAACCTGCTGACAGCAGGGTGCACTGTGTGATGTGTGCCATCCTCCTCATCTTCTAAGCTCTGTGCATCAAGCTCCTGGTCACTGAACGTGCCTCGCCGCGTGGAATTGCAGGAGGAGCCAGAACTACGCCGAGACGCCGTGGCTGCGTACTCTTGCCGCAGGCCTGGCAACAACAAGAGCATTGTTTACTTGCTTCCAGCCCACAAATGGTTCCAACTAGAGACTCTGCACACAGATATCTGCACAGTTCTCAAACTCAGATTTGGCTCACCTTAACTCCTTTTATTGGAGGCATTAAATAAATTCCAATCAGTACCAAGAAGTTATTGACCAGCTAATAATGACTTGAATCAGGTGAGCTCATTCCTTTTCCTAGTAAAGCAATCACCAGTATAGGTGTATTGTGTATGTACATGTTCATCTCCTCTCTCAGGCTGCAACTAGCAATGCAGGCTACATCATAATTTTGGTATCAAGTAACATCCTACAACAATTACAGCAGCCACAGTGAAATGTCTCTTGCAATGTGTTAGTGAATCTAACCATAAAAGCAACACTAGAGAAACTGGAGGTGTTAGAGCAGTGATCTCTGAAGTGTGGTGCCCACACCTCTGGGGATATACAAACCAATCCACTGGCATAAAGCAAGAAAATTCTGAACAACTGATATTTTTAAAACAGCATTTATCTTGTCTTTATCTCATACTTTTTTAAATTATATTTTTTGTGTATATTTCTGTATGTTATACATTAGAGTAATACACGTCTATAGTTTATTAAAAAGTACATATATTAGGCATTTGGTTATAGTTTTTTTCACTGGTAAGGACACACAATAAAATAGTCTGGAGACCACCTAGTTAGACATCTGAGATTATTACCACTGCAAATTCGGAGGGACAAAAATCTCAACTAAAGTTATAATTAAAGACAGACATCTATATAGGCACTTTTCTTAATAATTCTTTGCCATATTGACTTTATATTTCAATTATTTAAATTATGATTTAAGCATTGATGTGAACAAGACTGGATTACATCAGGAAGGCACCAATCTCCTTAGAAGAATGGTGGCAAGCAGTAGTCCATTCAAACAATCATCCTTTTAGCAAATACTGTACCTTACAGAAGTCTTGTCCATTGTTCCTAAAGAAAACTTCTGCACAGCAACTTCCTTTGTTTAGCCTGGAGGCTGAAGTCCTTAACCAGCTTTCTTGGGCAAACTACATTTGTACATCCATAGTAGAAGTTATACTGCTTTTCCATGCTTACTAAACAACTACTACTGCAGTTATTAAAAAAAACCAAAATGCAACAGCGCTATTTGATTTCAGAAAAAAACCCCCACTTACTTTCTTCCTGCATTCGTGCTAAAATTTGCACATCTGTAACATCATTTAACTTGTAATTAGACCCGATAGAGTCTTCATCCATCTCCGACGCACTTAATTCACTGTCCAGAGAAGACTGTGGACTTAGTGGAGGATTTCTATCTCCTGAAATTTTAAGATGACCTATGGAAGGAAAATAAGTAACAGGAATTGCTGTTACTAAAAAAAAAAATTTAAAAAAAAGGCAAGCTGCATTTCCTTTCCTAGTAAAAGCCACCAGTCTGAAGAAATTGCTACTGAGACATTGATCTGACAAACCATTTGACACATTTGATTATTTTATTGCCAACCTAGACTGAAAATGTAACTTACAAAAGCAGGTCATAGCCATTACCTTCTAAAAATGGGCAAATTTATAAAATCATTGCAATAATCTCAAAACAGACTAGTGGCAAATAATTTGGTCTATCATAGCATGTTACAACTGCTATGAAGTTTGCACAGCTCTACGAAAAAAGCAACTGCATACCTGGTTCCATCTCTGCTTTCATTCTCACCTCTGTATATACCTTGTAAAATGCCAGTTTGGATCTTTATTAACAATAACATTTTTGCTGATCCAATGAATATTGATTCCGTTTAGAATGCTTAAAATAGACTTTATCTGAAAATACTACCTGTTTCACAAACACACCTTTGCTAAACTGTAACATGGAAATTATAACAAGGAGAAACTCTCCCTGTTCGCTGCCTTCTGCCTTCCCATTGCCTGTTACATCTCTGTCCCTCAGGCAGACATGTCATTGTAGCACACAATGCAGAGCAGAGCTACCAAGATAAAAACTGGGTAATGGCTCTCATGCAGTGCAGGCTTCTGGAAAAGTCCAGTGAACTAGTGATAGCTGGATTGTCAATGCAACGTTTTTTCATCTTTCCTGTAAGCTAACTTAAATTATATACAATAACACAACAGCCTGACTTCAGAGTAGAGATACGTTCCAGGCACCAATTTTTTTCATGCAAAGAAAGTGTCTACAGAGCAGAATAAAAGCAGAAAACATTGCCAGAAGTTAATGCTTACACTGATGGCTACAAAGGCTCATGGAATGCTTAATTGGAATGTATGCTTCTTCCTTATATTATATTGTTCACATTGCAGAGGTATTGCTGGATACACTGCATACCAAATGTTTCAATTAGTAAACAATAGGATAGTTGAAAAAACTTCACAACTAACCTTTGAACAGCTACTATGGAACTTACACCCCTGTCAATTACAGGGTCAGTTCCAGAAGCCACTTGGAACTCTACAGAATGATCTCAGGTGTTTTGGTCTAACTGCTAATCACGTATATCAGTAATTTTTGGGTCACAGACACCCAAAGAAAACATTTTACATGTTTCTCATGCCAGAGAGTATGCAAAAATCCCTTCCTCAAAAGCTTAAAATGTGTGATGCACACATCCTACAAAATGCTGGAAAGTTCTGGAGTCTTTCTTACTCTAGTTCGATGCAAATGTTGTCTATCTGAGCATATTTGTGAAGGAAGAGGAGGAAGAAAGGAAAAGACCAGACACAGAGTGCCTTACCTGAGGTACCAGGAGGTATGAGCTGTTTCACTAAAGCAGATTTCACTGGTGTTGAGGAGGGAGAGTTGAAGCCACTGCTGTAGGGGCTGCCGGTATTTGGACTGTAGGAGCTCGCGTAACTGACCGCACTGAAAGGGCTGCTGTACAAACTCTGTCTCTTGAGAGCTGCAGGATGGAGGGGAAAAGTGATGAATTATACTGAATGAATCAATGAAAAACAAATACAATACTATATTGTGTCTTCAGTGTGATTTAATTAGTATGCAATTCAAGTAGAAAACTTCAGTCACCAGAAAGTTTTTCCACTGCTTTCTTCACCCCTAGGTATAACCATAATGTGAAAGGAGTGGCAGAAGAGGGCAAGACAAGATAGTGACAAGTGTTTTCTTTTCAGAAGTCAGATCTAAGATCACTACAGCTGATGTCTTTGAGATGTCCAGTGTAGGTGCTGGGAAGCAGGAAGGCAGTAATAGCTCAGTTACACTAACACACACCCCATACACAACTACATACAAACCAGAGCACACCAGAAGTCATGTTCTCAGAACTCTCAGACCTGCCTGAATCACGCAATACTTCAACAGTAACTCCAAGATTGGCATCACACAACTAAGCAGTATCACCTACAAAACTTCCCTAAGCATATGCTAAAATCAAAAGCCACTAAGTAAGGCAAACGCTTCTGTATAGATTTGAGGGTACCAGAACGTACCAGACTAATTGACTATCAATGGACTATCTCCCACTGTTAAACTTCTGTTCTAATAACTTGGGATTTTTTGACCATAGGCTTCAATCTCATATGCAATATAAGATCTAAATTTGGTACTTTCCTCTGCCATTTGTTGTGAATGTTTCAATGTTGAAGAATTTTCAGATTAATTTTAAACACTGGTGAACATTAACAGTGGTGAACAGTATGACACTGAAATTCCACTGGTTGTCGGGTATATTATTTGTTTAGTTACTTGACTATTTTGTTCAAAAGTTTACATTTTAAATGTAACAGAAAATGGAATTTCAGCTACAGAGATAGTGGGATCCAAAAGATATTTAGACACTTTTGCTACAAATCAGTTCCTTCACTGCTGGAAGTATATTAATGCAGAAATGTATATAAGGACAAATTAAATTGCAAAATGTTAAAAAGAAAAAGCTAGAAAAGCCAACTTGATGTTATGTAAATCCAGATTAGATTTAGTTGCAGCTCACCCAGCTGCTGAAAGTAGCAATTAAAAAATATTGTGTGACATTTCTCTTAGTGAAAAGGGACTTCAATGAGTGCAGTAAGTGTTAGGCTACTGATAGCAGTGGACAGGAAAAAAAAAAGGAAAAGAACCCAAATTTCCTCACTAATAATCATTGTTAATTTGACATTAGAAGCCAAAACAGACTACAGTTGCATGAAATGCTGCTTTCAGCAGCCAAGCCCAGCAAAGATTCAGTTTCTCCCCTTTGCTCTTGGTCACTACATCCTCAGTTGTCCAGTGCAAACACTGGTGGGGCCGCACTATTATCTGACCTACTAAAGTAGATTTAAGTTTAAAAATATATTATTTTAACTGATTTTAACTGTATTGCATCACTTAATCAGTTTTTAAGAGTGCCCCCAAAAAAACATAACATCCAACCTAGCCAATGGCAGAAGACAGAGGCAAAAGCAGCAGAAATTAAAGCTGACTTTGCAGCAAATTCCTAAAATCACATCTCATGTAAAGATCCTTTCTAAACCAGTTAATATTACCACTGTTTTAGTTAGAATGAAAAGACAGTTAGAGATGAAGGATGAAAGGTTTATATTTCAGCTTTCACTGCAAGTCTTAAACAATATGTGTTAATTTCAGCAAGTTGTGACTTCACTAAATTCTAGCAAGTATTCATGAGGTATTTTCAGTTTATTTTGAGTGTCAGAAGGGAAAACCTCCATTTGATTACAAAGCTCAGTAAACAAAGCCAGTAATTACAACTCACTCTGATCTGGATGATTATGATAAGGCCTTTGATATCAACTTCTAGTATTCACAAAGGAACCCCAAAGCATCTATTCCAATTGAATCTTTGTTCTCATACCAAAAAAAAAAAAAATCTACTTTTCATCTCTTGCCGAAAAAGTCATTAAAAATCCCTAAGATGTAAGTCTGCACAACAGTTCTTTCTTTTGTATTTATTACACAGACAAGTAATTTAAAATATTAACCACACATTAGAAAACAATTCTACTACTGTATAGTCTTCAAAACAGGCTCTTTGTATACATCCATAATGATACAAAGTATTTGATCATACACAGTTTTTTTTTTTTTTTGGATGAAACTTAGCAGGACTGTGCTACATGTAAAAAGTTTGCTCCTGTATGTGGTGAGACTTGATACACACAGTAGTTCTCAAGGTAGCTAATGTGAACCTTCATCAGCACAGTAGATTTTCCAAGACAAAGAAAATCTGGATTCAAATCCATTTTCTGGACCAGAATTCCTAAAGGTTTTCCAATAGGGATTTTCGTGACTCAGGAAGACATTGCTATTTTTACAAATAGAGATATGGTCTTTATTAGGAGTGTCAGACAAAACTAGCAAGACAGATAATCATTTTATAATTAAAATGATCCTAGTATTAAACACTAGCTTACAAAAGATTACACATTAGCTTTCAAAACACCAGAAGGGAGGGCTGATAATCAGCAAGTTTATTTTAACATAAATTTTCTTTTATAAAATACAGAAACAGTATGCAGCATATAATTCCTTTTAGTTATGTTTCTGCTGAAATGGTAATGAATTTCTTTTTTGCTATAGAAAATAGGAAAAATTGAGTACAGAATATATCTAAAGTTCCCTCTAGTCTGAACACACTTCCAACACTGAGCATGACTTGCTCTGCAATGGTAAACCTGACTGCTGACAAGGCATTGTGCATCAGTAACTGCTAGCAGTAGCATGGAGCTGAGAGCTCCATGCTATTCTTCCCTCCTTGATTGTCATGCAATGAAAAATACGATGGAAGAAGAAAATAAGATATACAAGAGGGCATTTGAGACTGAAAAAGAGGAAAAAGATATTAAGATTAGAAAGACCTACCAACAGGAACTAACAATGTAAAAAGAGTAAATGCAAAAGAAGAATCAGAGAGTCAATGCAAAAGAAGCATCAGCAAAGATTCAGGGAAGAAAGTTACAGATGTTGAAAAGCCTTTTCCATGGAGACTGGAACCAGAATCTATGAACTGAACGAGAAGCTAGTGACAGGTTAAGTGATGGGTCCATGAGATACAAGTACTATGCAAAATGCAAGTTACACTACACTCCTGAAGTTTAGAATAGGAAATACACACAAAGTTACAAGAAACACTACTTGTCTTCTCCAGTGGAACTCCCTGCTACCCTTATTCTTAAAGGAGGCTGGTTGCTCTGAAAGATAATTTTCTGTGTTGTTGAAAATTCATTTTTACATGCAATCTGCTCCAAGCAGCATGTGCCCCATTAGTATTTCCACCAATTATTACTACAAATTGTGTTATTCTTACAAGTATCACTGCCAGAAGCAGATTCACAGATCTAGGGGAAAACAAAAAAAAGAAAACACATCATTGGAATGTTAAAACTTTCAAATGTATCTATTTCACAGAGAAGTTTCCTGCCATTCTGCTTCAGCTGTGAATTTTTAAAGATACCCTGTGGGTAGCAGAATTAGTGGTATTTCCGGAAGACTTCTACTTAATTCTGAAAGAAGTTAAACCACAAACAGAATTATGTCAATCAACTGCTATCCATTCATAAATACTCAGTAGTATTCAGATTCCCAAACCTGTATCATCCTTCATAAATCCCTGTGAGGTGAGTGCTTTTTGTTGTTCACAATCTCAGTCTTTGCCTGTATCTAAGTCACATATCATGTTAACTGTTGAGGTAAATTTTTAATAGACAATTGTCCAGGCAGCATAAAAAAGCACAAGAAATAGGGAAATATTTAGGGTGACTCGTACTGAAGACACTTCCACCATTATGCCCATGATTTTCCTAAGAATAAAGAATGGATTCAAATTTTATTAAGAACAGTTTTAGTACAAACCAGAATAAAGACTGAATTGCTCCAAAAAACAATACAAGGACAGGAAAGAAGTTACAGCCAAATAAATTCAGCACGAAGTTTACATATAACCATGGAAAGGAGGTGGCTGCTGGAACCACTCCTGGAACTGTGTGTTCATACACTCTTAGCTCAAGTCCAACTATTCTGCTAATTCCTGAAGATAAAAGTTTAACATGTAGCAGCAGCAGACTACAAAAAGAGGCAACAGGAGGAGAATAGCCATTAATAACAAGAAAGTAAGTTTTCTCAGCATAATTAAAAAAAAATAGGTTCCAACAAAGAAACAAAACAAAGCAAGAAACCAGTGGACAAAGAATTCTAATCAGACCTTCAGCATTTTGCTGCCGGTTTGACATAAAAAAGTCTGGTAATAGAAGGATGGAGAATGCAGACTTTCATTCTCACAGGGTCAAACACTCTCCAGTTTTGAATATAAGCAACTAATTAGTATTAAGGAAGAATCAAACTCTGGATTTTTTTAACATTTGATGTAGATCTCAGTTACTGGGGATGTGAGGAGAAGAAATCATTATCATCTCCCAAAAGTATTCAAAAACATAACCCTCCATTTCTTTAGATGAAGTAAAATAGATAATCTAGCAGAAAATCAAGTTTCATGCTAACATACTGACAAACACCTAACAATTATGATATCTTAATACAGGCTTCTATTAAAAAAAAAAAAAAAAAAAAGATGAGAAAACTTTTTGAGTTAAAACCATTGGCTTTTCCTGAAAACAACAGACCAAACTATGCAGGTATTAAAAAACTCTGAAATCATGACTCATGATCTAATGCCTTTTTTCATTTCATTCATATGAGTAAAATGAGTAGAATTAATTACTTTATAAACCAAAATGAAAGCTTTAGACACAAGTAATTGATAGATATTTTATCTCACAACCATTAGCTAATTTTGATGCTGTTTCATACAACCCAGTGGTTTCAGTGTGCACAAACTCACCTGACATTGTTTGCTCCAGCTTGTGGATCAGTGACTTCTTAGCACATTCAACATCAGGACTTGGGTAATCCAATACCTGTCTGCACCAAACTAATGGACTGACACTTTTTTGCAGTGGATTTTTTTTCTTCTTTGGAGATGTATATAACCTGGAAAAGAGAGAGAAAAAAATTACGAGGACAGACAAAATGAGCATAAGATCAGACATGCAACAGAACACCACAGAGTATGCTATTTCTGTTTTTATACTCTATCTACACTATAGTACAATCCCAAAAGATAAAGAAAGCACAGATTTGACCCTAAAATTAACTATTTTGGATAGAATATAACAGCGATAACATATGGCTACCAAGAATTTCAGACACATTATGGACAATTTCACTGTCCATAATATACATAAACATACAAATGAGGATTAATCTTTTCAGATTCACCTGAAAGAAATAAAACACTATGCAATAGGAAACTCTTGTTTTCTGAAGCAAAGGAAGCAATAAGCATCTTAATAGCCAAGGAGCAGTGCTAAAGTACACAAAACACAACTACTGTTTCAGTAGCCTTGAACAATAAACAATTTATGTTTGTTTATTATTTCTATCCTAGTACCTGATCTTTTCACTCTCTTTGAACACAGAACAAAGAAACTATCCCTGTCCTAAGGAGGTATACAGTCAAGCACTAGCAACAAGGAAAAACAGATAATGCACACAGGAGAGTGGAGAGAAACGACGAGATCATATTGTTTTGCCAGATATACTGAAACCTTTGTCTGTCTGCATCTCCACTCACTTATTTTAACATCAACATTCCACGACTGAAGAAAGTAGTAGTCCAGTTTAAAAACTCTAGAAATATAACTGAAAACTTCTCCTCCCTCAAGAAACAGATCAAAGGAAAAGTCATAACCAATCACACACTCACAACAGGGAACTTTAAGCCTTACTTTGAATTAGAACCAAACTTGGAAATGTGGTTCAGCAAAAGACAAAAGTGAATTGCAAGACATAACTCTTAACTAGAGATTATGCATGTGTAGAATCAGCTAAACAAGTGTTTCTTTTAGGGTAATGACAGACTTCATATTCCAAGTGAATATGATTGTATGCCACACAGCGTCACTTAGGAACATCTGACAGTCTAATCAGACAAGTCTCTGTACAAAATACACAGTAAAAGTTGTTCTCTTTATGCAAATGACATTAGCAACACAGAAGTTATTTCCTACAACTTTCTCTCTACAAGATTATCTCATCTCTCCTCTGTAATTCTGGAACTTGAACTGTTTGTGTTATAATAGCTTTTAGAGATTTTTTGTAATTACTACCATTAAGTTCACTTCTTACAAAAGCTTATGTTTATAAAACCACCACTCACTGATCTTTATTAAGAACGAGCTCCAAAACACTCTTCCCTCTAACACTGAAATTAGCAAGCTATGCTTGCAGATCCAGGCAAGAAAATATTTATCAGCTGCCAGGTTTTAAAATAAAAATGAAGCTGTTTGTAACAATCCAAATAAGTCACTGCCACTTACTGTAGTTCAAGGGGTTTATGCTTTGGCCAATATCATGCTGTCTGTCATAACTACTTTTGTAGAAATGCCTGCAATTGGGCACTCAGCCCAAAAGAAAAGCTAAAAGCTCTTCATGTATTTATAGCCCTGAAGATCCTTGAAAAGGATCACAAGAGTCACTCAATTTTCACAGTTGTGTAAACAATTACACCACTTTCTGTAATTTTTAGGACATCTCCATACCATTAAAAGTAATGTTTAACATTTACGATCTCTCTAGCATTTTGAATTTACTGTCTTTTTAATACTTACCTGTACTCCTTTCTGTCCTAAGGTATGTTTATAGAATACAAAGAAGTGTCAGAGGCAACAAGGCCAGACTCACTCCTGGTGCTCTGGATAGCTGGCATGCCTTGCTGTGTTTGAGAAGTTCCATGCACATTCAGTTTACAGTAGCAGCCAGTATAAAAGGCAAGAAATTAAAATGCATGTCCTCTTTGAGGACTGGTCTAATCAAAACTCTACCTGATATTTTAAGCTTCAACACATTCTTTTCAGGAATTCCCAATTGTTCCATAAGTAGTTTATTTACTGAAGCAATCCAGGCTCACACAGCTCCCTCCCTCTTTTCCACCTCCCTTTCTAACCAGTATATATTGCATATTCCCCCCACCTCTTCCGACTCCTTTATCAACCTTTGTTTCATAACTTGGACTTCAAGGAAAGACAGAACTTGACAACATACATATTTCATGCAACTCCAACACACACATGTACACTGATGCAGTGACAAAACAGCTCTTTCAGGGCAGTTTCTTGCACATCATGCAATTATCAAGCCTCACTATAAAGCAGTGATCTTAATATTCCACCTGACAAAGAACAGCCAATCTCAAGTCTTGAGACTGACTTAATTCTACTTGCTTTGCCTAACTTGGATTTTACAAAAACCAAAAGGACCAAGGGCAAGGCTAAGAATCAGAGTGATGCCTCTATTACTTCTTCCTCTTTGCCCAACGTCAGAAAAAGAACAGATACATGAAGCACATACAAGTAACTTCACACAGCTAAGTGGTCTTCCTGGTCAAACTGTTTGATCCAAATGATATAGGTCCTCTTTAGCTGAACAACCTTCCAGAAGAGATCCTATTTGTACCTGTCAATGCATTCTACAGCAACACAACAGCACTGACTGGCAGTACAGCAACTTCAAGACAGAAGATTATCAGAATGACTTCATACATCTTTACCCACTGTAAATCAACTCTCTCAAAACAGGAAGTTAAAAATTATTGAGGAAGCTGACAACTTACAGTTGCCATCCATATTACAAATGTTAACACACCAGAAATATATACTCCAATCTCTCCTCAACAGAGTAAAGACTCCACAACTCAGTGACATAAGGTAAAGCAGAACAAAATGGTATATTAAGAGGAGCTCAGGAGCTTTGATCTACTTTGAAACAACACTAAGGAGACCAGACACTATGACTCTGCTGCAGCCATTAATATTTCCTTCCTTTGGCTCTTACAAGTCAACCACACCAGAGCAGCACCAACCCAAGGCTGAAAGCAGCCAGGGGCTCTACTGATTAGTTCCAGGAAGATGCAGACAGAAAAGGGCAGAGCTTTTGCAGGAAGACTGCTGTGACTACAAGCAAATATGATGTCAGCCAAATGGAGCAAGATGCAGCATGTTGCACTGGGACACAGATGAGTCAGAAAAGGCTTTGAAGAAAGAGGACACACCACTACAGCAGGAGTGGAATATCTGCGTACAGATTACCTCACCTGAGGAACACCTCCCAGTGCATTAAAATACAAGAGGCTAGTTGCCACAGGCATGAAACAAGAAGCCAAAATTCTCACTGGGGAAAAAAAGGAAGCGTCCTTTTGTATCAAAATCCTTCCACTACTCAGTATAAGAGTGAGGGAAAACATACAGATGAACATGAAGTCACAAATCTGAATTAGAAAGAAGATGGCAAGTGGAAGGAATCTGAAGTTAGAGCTCATTTATTTTAGTTACATTAGGTTTAAGCAAAAACTGGAAGTTACAATAAAGGAAATTAAATGGGAGCACGCAAAACATGATGCATGCAAAAGCAAGATTAAAAACCTGAAGACATGATGAGGAGAAAAAACTGAAATCCAAGGATAAATCAATAAGAAATGCCCCTAAAATACAAGAAAGAAACTTCACAGTGAAAAGCTAATGAAAACATATAAATCAGGAGACAATAATACTGGACAGTCTTGGAAACAGATAATTTAGAACACAACAGTGTCAATCTAAGCTATTTTAAGACAATTTAAAAGTTTTAGGAAATCCTATCTGAAGTGGCTTAAGCACGTTAAGACTTAAGACAGATTTTGAATGGACAGGTAGAGATCTGAAAAGCATCTCTGGTTGAAAGAAAAATCAAAAAATTAAGTGACATCCCTGCACTTATGTGGCCCACAGATCTCCTTTCCTTCTCCCCACCCCACAAAATTCCTGTGCCACAGCTGTGGCTGACTAAGATACACATTGCTTAGCCTGCAATTATTCGTTTTCAGCTCTAGTTCACAGAATACTTCTAGTTCTGAGAGATTGCACAAACTACAGCAAACTCCAGTCTATGAATATAAACTGCAGAATATGAATACTACAAAGAGCCTTTGACAGTCTCATTAAACCTTCACATTACAGTGGTACATCTCAGTTACATAATGAAATTTTTAAGTAGAATTAAGAATATCCAAGAGGTTGCAAAGTGCAATTTGGAACACAACTACCTTTCTGTGTCCAACAATTAAAGCTAGTTAGCTGTGCCCTGGCTAGTTGCTGGAAATTACTGCCACTATTCATTTCCTCATCTAGAAGAACATGTTTGTGTCGGAAAAGGATCTTGGGAAATGGGAAATGGGCCATCAAAACCACCATCATGTACCTTCTCTAGAACTATCACACAAATTGTACAACTGTCCACTATTTGAGAAGCTTTTCATAAGAAATTTGTTAGTGCATCTGTGCTTAAACATAGTATTGTTCATATTTACACTGAAGAGAAAAAAGTTGAGAAGTTCTGTGTCCTAATAAATGTGTTCCAAAATAAAATTCCATTTAATGACTATGCCTGAGAGCTCTATCAACAACTACAAGTAATAGAAATGTGAACCATGCCTAAACAAGACATGATTATGTAGTAAATTTCAGAAATATCACTAGGACAGTAAAGGAAACCCATATCAAAGATTTCATTATATCTAAATATAAAGCATGTTTAAAAGCAGTAATTATCACAAAAATGGTCAGAAATTGAAATAGTTCTTTCTCAGGATTCTTCCTCCAGTCCTCAAATATCTGTTTCACAACAAATATGGATATCTCAAAGACAATAATCAAACTGAATATTATTTAATGTTACCAGTTGTTTTTCATTATAACACTGATGACTTCCGTAACTCTTGCTTTTCCTACATGCTTCTTATCATATTATCTTCCTAGTTTGTGAAGATGTTATCTGAATTTGGTTAAACCCCAACAACTTTAAATCAAATTGACTTTTTATGTGCCACAAAATGAAAAACCGCAATTCCTCTTTTACTTACACCGTGGAACAGAAATTGATCAGAATCTGTCCTGCTTCCAAAGGGCCCAAACCACATTAATACAATAAAATTTAACAGTTAAACAGGAAATGCTGCAATGCAATTTCAGCAATGGGGTTTCATTCAGGTGGAGCTCTAGCCTAAAATAGTCAAAGTATACTTTACCAGCTCACTATGGCAAACCAGGATTCCAAAACAATGCTGGTGCTCAAGGGACATCCAGCAATATGAGACAGAAGAATCATTACAGACGACAATCGTGTATCTCACACAGGCCCTTGGCCAACTACCGCTAATGGATGGCTAGAATGGAAACTTGCAATGTTATCAACAGGTGCAAATTAGAAATAGCTGCTGAAGAGTGTGAGTATAATAGTAAAAGTATGTGCCTTCCATTTTAACTAGTCAGGATACACAACCAGTCTGAGCTCTTAAAAAACACTGAAACTATTACTTTTAGCTGTTCAGTAAGTAAAAAAAACCCACCAATAATTTAATTTTAAATACATAATAACTGCCTTTTGTTTGTAAATGAGGTCAGTCAACTGTAAGCTATTTTAACCCTACCAAGGAGACTTGATGCTGATATGAAAGCATGGGTGCTAGTTTTTATAGCACTGTCATTTAAAGAGAACAACTGTTCTGAAGTTTGCTGAGCAATTACATGTACAAAATAGATACACAGCAAGCTCTATACTCTTATGCACATGCTGCAAGTAAATTTTGAAGAAAAGTACAGCATGCTTTGCTCACATTTAAAACAAAGCTTCTCAGAGAGCTCAGTTTGGGACCGTGCAACAAGTTACCACAAAGGAAGCTACAGTGGGTTCCCAGCACAGTAACTCATCTAGAGTAATTGCCCACGCGTGCACACTTATCCTGCAATAAACTCAAGACCCAATAAACTCTTTTTAAAAGCAGCATGGCAAGCCACCCTGCACATTGTTATCCAGATAACACATCCACACCCAACCTTACCCAGCAAGTCAGGCAAGGAGGTGCACACCACTTCTCTGAAGATTTCTCCACTCTGGTCACCTCTTCCGCCCTATTGTCTTTTCAATTAATTAGTAAGAAAAGACCTGTTCAGACTGAACTTGAAAAAAATTAAATTTGATGCAATCTGGTTCAAGAACAGCTACCCATAGAGTAGATTATGAAAGTTGCTGATAACTGGAGGAAATAATCAGCAGGCCTAAAGCAAAGTCTCCAAGGGTCTGTGTAGAGCTCAGTACAGTGTGCAAGTACAGATGTGCCAATCTGCAACCTTCAGGACCTTATCAGGAAGAAAGTTTCAGCACATTAAACAACTTTCAGAAGCATATAGACAAGAAACTCAATCTAAATGCAATAAAATATTTTTAATAATTTACCACATAATTTGAAGATTGTCTGATGCAAAAATGTTTAAAACGTGAAGTGAATCTGGATTTAAGTAACCACAGAGAAGAAAAACAATCAAGCAAAAATATAAACAATCCCAAAAGTCACTAATACTGTATGGATGTTTTAATAGCTAATGCTGCTATTAAAACAGCAGTGTCAAAGTTCCTTTGCTTGTTTGATAGTTACAGCAGAGAAGTGAAAAAGTAAGGAGAAGGTGCACTTACCTAAATGCATTTTAAAAGCTAAAAATAAGTTGATCAACTCTACAATGTAGATTTAAAGAAACATGTCACATTCTAGTATCAATTTCAATCAGAATATCAGGTGTTCTGTCTTAAATTCACAGCCACTAATCTCATGTAGGCATTAAATGTAAAACAATTTTAACAATTAAGAAAAACATTTATTCTGCCATGACAAAACTGCAGACAATTTCATAATAGGGTATGAAAATGTCTGTATTACACAAAACAGAAAAGGACAGTGATAACCAGCACCCTTGAACACCTATTACTGCCCACAGCAAGGTCCTTTTGAAATCAAAAGTGAAGACAAATCTTAACTTCTATGTGTAGACAAGCAAAACAGGCAAGGTGAATCAATTTTTTATGAACAAACGATGATTTAAATTTACTTTGTTTCCACAAGAGGTGTCCTCAGCTGCTAAGAAGTATTTGATTTTGACAGTGTATAATCCCATACTTTAAACAGGACTTTGGGTTAAGCATTAGTGATCCAATCCATTTGAACCTCAAAGAGTTCACATGATACTTAAATTTCATTGAATACATTCACCCTTACAGTTGATTAAATTATTTTATGAATGACCTTCCATAGCCAAGGCCTTAGGAGGAGGATCTTTATGAAACAGTTTAAGGGAAATCCACTTATTCACAGCAACCCCTCCTAAAAGAAACAGGCTTGTTTCTTTTAGATTATTCCATTAGCCCTCTGAAAATGTCAAACTTCATTAAGAGCAAAAACCTCCATTAATCAAAGGCATCTTACCTTCATAGGAAAATAAAAGGGGTTGGACTATTTAGTGTTTCAACAGTTGAATTAGAAGTTGTTTAGAAATTCCAAGAGCTTGATTTCCATTTTTATTAAGCACTTTGGAACAAAAAAAATCATCATTCTAGCCAAACTATGTTTATCATTAATTGCATATTAAACAACAGCAGGAAAACACTTTTTTTAAACAACCACATATCCATATTTTGTGATATGTGTGACAATTCGTAAATTTTTACAATTGCTTCTTTTGTTTCATGCATTTGTGTCTCACTCAGTGTCCTATGCCTGAGACTGAAAATTAGTAGCTAAAACACTTCAGCATTATAGTTGCCAAAATATTAGTAAAGGAATCAAGATGTGCAAAAGACTGCCTATAAGTTTTGCTGCCTTTTGAGCACCAGAACTTGCACAGCAACATGACGGTGCCACAATAATTGGCAGCCAAACACCTGACACCAGCAAGGGCAGTGCTCAGTGAACCATGCGGCTGCCCCGTGAGTGCCCAGAACTGTGTCAACAAAAACACAGCACTAATGCCACCACTGTCACCATACACTCTGTCGGGACGTTCACTTTCACTTAAGAGACTCATTATGTTACCCATGATTTAGAATTAATGTATAAAACAGTAAGATCTGTTGTCACTAGAATTCACGACATTTACAGATTTGGCCATGCCACTCCAAACTTGCAGGGCAAATTTACCAGATTCTATTTCCATCAAGGGCTGTAGGCCCTTGTAGGTTACCAGGCATACAGTGAGAAATAAGAGTAGCTGCCTTGCACAGACTCATCTTCTGAGAGATGATGCCTTGTGTTAATTTAGTGTTGGATGAGAATAAACTTATGCTCTCATACTTCTCCAGTGGATCGGGCTGAATGTCAGGCAAATGATTTCTCCAAGGAAGCGCACACGCTGTCTCCTCCCTGAGCAACTAAAACATTGCTCATGCATGGAGTCATTCCAGCATTTTTAAAGGCGTTCCTAACTCTACAAGACATTTTTGTTTGTTTTGTAAATTTGTCTGCATGTTTGCTTCCAGAGACCTTCGTAGATGGACCCACAATCAGTTCTGTTGCAAGATAGTTTGCATGCCTGTTTAAACAAAAGTTTACACTTTTTGTCATGCTTCCCTTGCATTTCTCTGTTGACATGCTGCTGACACGGTGCTCCTCCCCACTATTTCTCCTGCAGCTCTGAGGCTGCCCCTCAACAACTGTCACAGGAAACTTCAAACCGACAGCTGGAGACAGTGTCATGTTTGGAGAGAGCCAAGTCTTCTTGATTCTCAGTGGAAGCTCAATCAAGTGTTAATAATGACAAGGCACACAGCCACCTGCAGCTGTTTCTGCTGGAGCAGCAGGATAAGCAGTCCATTTATAACGAGGAACCACCTAAGGGAAACCGTGATCCTACATCATTAGCAATAAATTAGAACGCCTAAGGGTAACACGTTTATGAGATGAAAAAGTGCTACATTTGCTGCCTTTACAGCTGAAAGAAACCGAGGCATTAAAGGTGCCCGATGCATGTCTGAAGTCTAACAGTACCTGTGGGCCAATTCTAATACGCAGAAATTTCCCACAAGTTTCTCAATGCCTCTCCACCGCCTGCACTCCCGAAAACACTGATGGCTCATTCTGCGGCAGCACCGGAGCCCGCTCGGTGTCCGAGTACCCCCAAGTAACGCTCCCCTCGCGGCCGAGCAGCGAGCAGGGCAGAGCCGCGGCCTCCAGGGAGCTTCACCACCGTTTGCAGAAAGCGAACACCCTTCCCCGGCAGGCGTCTAGTCCAGCTCACTAAGCCCTTCACCCAGCCCAGAGGGCGAGGCTGCCTCCGCACACAAAGCCCCGAGACCCCCTCCGACATCAGGCACACGCCTGGAAACTGCCCCTTCCCCCAGGCACGGCGGAGCCTTGCCCGCCTCCTCACCAACCCGCCCCCGCCCCATCCCCACCCCGGCCGCCTCCTCACCAGCCGGTCTCGTCCTCATCGCAGCCGGCCAGCCGCTCCAGCTCCTCCGGCCTGAGCACCGCCGCGTCGTCCAGGAGGCCATTGCCGCCGCTGCCCCCATCGCCACCGCCGGGCTCCTCGGGGAGCGAGCGCCGGGCGACGGCCCTGGGGCTGAGACAGCGGCCGTCGGGCGACGGGGAGACGGCGGGGGGCGGCGAGGAGGGCCCGGCGCTCGGCAGGCGCTTGGGGCTGGCGGGGGCGGCGGGCAGGGCGCCGTGGCGGCTGCGAAGCTGTTCATTCTGCTTCTCTAGCTTCTTCACCAGCTCCTGCAGCTTCCGCACCTCCGCGTCCGCGTTCACGCCCGAGCCCACATCCTCCATGGCGGCCGCCGGCAGAGCGGCGGCTGCGCGGGGAGAGGCGGCCGTGCCGCCCCGTCTACGCGGCCCGGCGGCCGGCGCCGGGGCAGGGCCGGGGCGGGGCGCAGGACGCACATCCGCCGCCGCCATGTCACCGCCTCCGCCGCTGCCGCCGGAACCGCCGGCCCTCGCGCCGCCTTCTCTCTGGGCGGGCCGGAACGGAACGGCACGGAACGGAACGACGTGCCATGGCCGAGCGTGGCGGCGGCTCGCGGCCCCGGCAGCGGGAGGCTGTGACTTAGCCCCGCTCGCGGCCGTCCGAGGGGCTCGTGCGGTGGGCTCGCTCCTGAGGGAGCGGCCTGCCTTGGCCTGGCCTGGCCTCCCGTGTCTTGGGCACCGCAGGTCCCGGACAGGAGTTGTATGGGAAGCCCCGGAATACCTTCCAAAACCGTTCAAAACCTCTGGAGAATACAAGGCTGCCCATGGTCCGAGGCCTAGGTGAAAGTGTTGGGCCTATTGTGTATGACGGACGTGTGAACTAAACATCCTTCGAGTGTACATTTTGTATAAATAGATGCATATTCTTTTAAAGGTTGTGGTGATTTTGCCTTCCATAGCAAAACTTACACCTTCAGGTTTAAGGAATTAGTGGGGCTTTGGGATTTGTCACAGAATCACAGAATGGATAATGTGGGAAGGGACCACAGTCGTTGATCTGGTCCAATCTCCCTGCTCAAGCAGTTATCCTAGAGCTCAGGGCACAGGATTGTGTTTACTGGGCAATGTGTTCCAGTAAAGAAGTTTTTAATATTCAGGTGGAACTTTCTGTGCATTGCTTTCTGCCCATTGCCCCCGCCCTATTTCTTGGGATGTTTTGTATCTTGTGACAAATTGTCTCCAAATTTCGTCAGATGGCATTGTGGGGATGCTCTGTGTCCCCCTTCCCTGAGCCACTGAGTGACACTGTCCTTAGTCCCACCCCTTCACAATTTTTTCCTCTTCCCAAGTTCCATCTACTCACCAGCTTCATTTTGGAGCCTGGTTTGGCAGGGGAGAGGAGGAACACCAGCAAGTGGGCCAGAGGATGGCTGGAGTCTGCAGGGGATGGCACTGCTGTGAGCAGTTTTTACCAGGCTCAGGAAGGGAAGAAGGAAAATAAGACTGGGGTGCTCAGACCTGTGGGATGTGCTGAGAAGTTGCAAAGTTTAAGGGCATTTAATGCTACACAATCTGGTTGTGTTAGGTATGGTGCATGGACTGCTGGTGTGTTGAGACTGCCAGGCATGAGTTTACCACATCCTTACAAGACTGGGTCACTTCCTTGCCTTACACAACACTCTCCCCTTATACATTCAAAGAATACATTCCCTGTATGTACAGCATTATTTGAGGGTTTATTCTGGGGTGGTTTTGCATTGTTACTGTTAGCTTCTCACCAGAATCCAGGCCTTTGATCCATACATGCAATTTATGTCATTATTTTCCCAAAACAATTATCACCTTAAGTGTTTAACTGCATTAAAATACATCAGGGCTGGTATCTTTCAACAAAGCAATTTAATTACTCCTATGGTAATGTCTTCATTATCTGCAAATGAAGCAAACTTCTTATCAGCAGCAGATTTTGCCACAGACTTTGTATAATTCTCACAGCTATAGAACTACTAAACAGTTTTGGCCCATGAGCTGAGACCTTTGGCACTCTGCTCACTGGCACCACGTTAATGACTATCATAACTCCTTAGGGACTGGTCTGTAAACCAGTTTGTAAATCCAGCTCATTCTCTGTGTCTGTATGATATGGTACAAAGTCAAATGCCTTAAGGGAATCCAGATATATTCTGTGAGAACAGTTACTTATCAACAGAATTTACAGTCCTACCAAAAGGCCAAGAAAACTATTATATAAAGGTTTTTTACATTAAGGATCTTCCATGACCCCCATACTTAGAGTGACACTGCTGATGATTCAGTAGTTGGTGGGTCTTAAACTATGCAGGGAACTTTATTCCAAATTAGAGCATTTATAGCAGGACCACACAATAGAACTTCTTTCTTCTATAACTATCCTCAGGCCAAACATCAGTGGCATGAGAAACCCTGTCACTTGAATTAATCATGCTTCTATGGTAGCAGCAGGAGGAGTTTAATCCTTTCTATAGTGCAACTGCTGGGATCAGGATGGGACTGGTGGCTGGAACTGGGAGTGTGGCAGTGTGAAGTGGGGCTGTGACAAAGGGCTCTGCCAGGAGATGCAGACAGGCAGTGCAGCGGAGGACCAGGACCACAGAGAGACCCAGGCTCCTGGGAGCTGCTGCCAAAACTGCAGCTGTTCCTGGTCATTCTGTCATGTTTAGGGGCCTGCTCTGATAGCTAATGGGGCACCTCTGAGAGCTCTTTAGTGGTCAGTGCACTGCCTGCATCCTGCCTCTCCTCTGCTTCCTCTTCCTTCTCCCTTCCTCTCCCCCCTGTTCATTTTATGGTCTGTCTGTCCCCCAGATTTCCTACTCCAACTTTCTGTCCCCTGCTGACACCATTACTTTGCTGCCAGCAGCTGTAGCAATTTTTTCTCCCCACAAGATACACTCCCTGCAGGTGTGTGTGGACAAAGGGGGAGGAAAGTGAGAAAAAAGTCTCAGAAAAAAAGCTTCAGAACTGCTGAATCATCTGCTATTTTTACAAAGAGTAAGGGCATAAATGAAATGAACAAAGGGAGTCACTGCTTAATAGTCACCATAGTCTGTGCTTTGAATAGCAAGAGCCATGATTCTGCTTTCTCATTCATTCCTGTGTTGAGTGCCCTTCTCATGTGCTGGGAACTGAAGAGCAGCAGGGCTTGGTCCATAAGCTTCCTATGAAATATCAAGTCAATAATAAGCTTCCACGGCCTTCTTGTTCCTCAGATTCCAAGCTTGCTCTGGCCAGATGTGAGACCACACCCAAGAAGAGGCCCTTGGGTGAATATACAGAAATAGTATTAATTGATAGTAATGCTACAAAAATGAAACCTTTCCACTGTGTCACAAGAGCAAGAGAAATTCTTCTGTGTGTGAAATTAGATCTGTTGCAGATTTTTTTGTGAACAGCTGTGATTGCACCCACGCTGTGTTTTCCCTTCTCACAGAGAGGGAGGAGAAAAGCAGCCTTTCCACAGCACTGTTTCCAGATCTCAGGACATGCTTGGGTGCTTCTCTTGTCTGACTTGGGGCAGGTTCTAAACTCACCAGATGAGAGAAAATGAGGAGCAGTCTCTCCAAAGGAAAGGAAGTCTGAACAAGGTTCTCATGTCACTCAAATAATTCAATACACATCCTTCTGACAAGTGGATCCTAGAAAAAGGCCACCAGGAGCCTTGTTTTGCTGACCTTTGAGCTCTCTAGCATGGACAGCCCTATGGTTAGTTTCTCAAAGTGGTGATTTGCTGAATCTTTGCCTTTACATCTGTAAAAACTGTTAGAATCTGACTTTGAAACCTTGATTTCATTTGTCACCTGGGAGGACAATCCCTCAGGGAGAATAGTACATGAAGATGGGCAGATGCATGGTGGGAAGTTAACATTTGTTGTAAATATTTAACTTGATGTCTGGAAAACTGGACTGGTTTTTAAGCAGCTTTGCTTATTCTCCTGCAGAAGGGTTGTTGCCTGCCAGACTTGTCAAAGGAGGTGTTCAGCAGGCCCACACATGTTTGTGTTAGGCAGTGTTTAGCTAAACCTTTGACAAAATATAAAGTATTGTTTATCATTACAATATATGGCACATGCAAAAATTGAATACAGAGTGGAAGAAGCATGCTCCTGTCATAATATGTTCCTTTCAGAATTGAAGGCAGAACTGTTACTCTAGTTCTACTAAAAGAACCAACATTGTAACTTCAGTTATTTATAAGAGATACCTCTGAGTACATCAGGCTCATCAGTGGTGAGACAGCACCAACAATGTTTAGCCCTTTAGATTGGGGTTTGGAAACTTAAAAATGTAGTCACTCTGCACACATCTTCAGTACCCATACCCATCCCCTAAAATCTTTAAACAGCGGTGAGCTGTGCATAAATACACTTTAAAAGTCTTTATAAATAATTTTTAAAAAGTGTTTTCTGCTGACAGTGTTGTGGATGATGGACCCATGATCAGTACATTGGTCTCCTTACCAAGTTACAAGGCACTTAACAAAATTTAGTTGAGCAAGCTTAAACTTAGCCAAATTTAAATTATTCAGACAGAACAAGGTACTTTCTAAGGCATTGATTAGAATTTTTTAGTCTGGCTTACAATATATTTTGAGAAGAAGAAAGGAAAGGAAAGGAAAGGAAAGGAAAGGAAAGGAAAGGAAAGGAAAGGAAAGGAAAGGAAAGGAAAGGAAAGGAAAGGAAAGGAAAGGAAAGGAAAGGAAAGGAAAGGAGAAGCAAATTCAGTTTTATCATTGCGTTAGCTACCAGTATTTCATATTTATCAATCACTTGGAAATAGCTTAGTTGCTCTTTAAAAACTGCTGAGTTCAACACACTTAAAATGCTGCGGTGACATGGACATTGAATTGACATTGTGGTGACTCAGAACATTGGGAAAGGATTTTTTGTTGTCAAGAAGGTTCATGATTGATGTTCAGTTGCGAGTGCAGTGATTTTAATCACTTGGGTAACAGTGAGTGAAACCTTACATGTCTCCACCTGTATGAAGCAATCTTCTGTTCTATCATTCAAAAAAAAGTTCCTAAATTTGCTCTCCCAACATGGCTTTATTACCAGGCCAAGGCTGGAAGGAAGAAGACTTCATTGCACTCAAGAAGTTTTTAAAAACAGTTTTCCCTCTGCATTTTTTTTTAGCATGATAAAGCACCAAATCTTCAGAATGCAAAGTAACGGGAACTTTCAAATGTGTTGAAAGTTTGAAATGCTGCACACTGGAAAAGCTAGTATGTTTTAAATGTCTTTTTGCTTAGATTTGCAGAAAAAAATTGTTATTGAATAGGAGAGAGAGGGTATTCACATTGCATAGACAAAACTTTGCAATTAAATTAGGTTTATGCTCGATTTATTGATGGCTTGTATTTAACAAGGCTCTGCCTCTGTCTGAAGACAGTATGCTAATGCTGACAA